AGGTTTACATAGCACCCCTCTTCAAAACAAATCCAAGACGGTGAAATGAACCAGTCTCTATGTTGAGCTGAGTGGCTGGTGGTGTCCTCATGCACTCGTGGGGAATGATGCAAACAGGAAATTTGATGTCCATCATCTCGGATTGGGAAGAGGTGGCCCAACATGCATCACCTTGTATTGTAGATGCCAACACCTCAACAAAACACAATGCAGAGGTTCATTGGAACAAGTGACGTCCCCTGGTGCTAGCAAGCTCCCAAAGCTCCAGACCATGTATTCAGAATTCCTGAAGAATTCTGCCCCATCACAGTGAAAGGTGACCGGGATGTATCCTCGGAACGCTCTTGCTCGAAAGTCTTGAAGAAGTCGTTTGGCAGGCATAATGCAAATAGGAAGACGTCGGGCCAGTAGTTAAATAGTTGTTGTTTGATTGCGTTCTTCCAGGAAGTCTCTGGAGCCTCCCTATTTATTTCAACACACCCTCGTACTCACCCTAGTTTTTTTGTGGGCACTACCAGTGTCTTGAAGCACGGGCACGCACAAGACTAAGTTCGGCTCTCCCTAGGTCATGACCTTGATGGAAGAGCGGGTGATCGGTCCACTCCTCAAAGTCTCGGCAGCGCCTCCAGAACTCCGCAATGTCACGATGTTGCCAAGTGCCCAGCATGGACTTCTTAAACTGCCAGGGAAGCCAGAGAAAACCGTGCATGTCCCCACCCACTTCCCAACTTGAGAAGCTTGAGAACATGTTTTGGAACTATCTCCTGTTCCTCACCAGCATTGCCCAAAGCAAAGAAAATCTCATGAGGGAGCAGACATGGGACCATGACTTCTTCGGTCTCGGTTGAATCTACAACCTGGGTCGCTGAAGACTGCGCACCAAAGATAAAAGCTGTCTGATCAAACCTGGTAAGGCATCAAGGAGTGTCGTTTCTTTTTGCTGTTTTGAGGAACGTGAAGGCGTAAAGGAAAGTAATAAACTTCCAGCGAAATGCCGTAAAGATCTTTCAACCACCTGTGGAGGTCTCTCTCTTCATTGGATGGGCAAGCGCCGAATGCTCCCAGGCTTGCAAACATCCTCACCGCTACAGAGGGCTCACCGTCATGGGCAGCCGCCTGAGCTAACCCAGCCACCGTGCGGACATGAACTTGCCCGCTACCAATCAGTCCTTGGAGAGGGTCGCTCACACATGTAGACCTGTTTGGAGGCTATGCGCTCTTATAAGTACATACATATAGAACTATATAAATATATGTTATAGACTGTAAGCGTTTGCAACGGCAAGACTCTGATATACTCATCTGCTTGATGGCTTTCCGGAAGGTTTTCAAAAGATACACTTCTCTGTCTATTTCGCGCCCTGGCGCAATGAGGTCTGAACATTATCTTCTGTGGCACTGTGGCACTCTGAGCGGGGGGGCCTGGCCTGACTGGAAGCGAAGACGATGATTTGGCGTCGCTGCCTGGCCATGGCATGCGGTGCCACAGTTGAACGCAGGTATATTGCATAGGTCTTGGGGTCTTTGTCGAATTGGTCTTGGGAAAGCACATAAATTGACTTTCAAACGCCTATGGTATACTATATAGTCTATTTTCCAAGGCGTTGTACAACTGATCTTCAGGAAAGGCAACGCACAGTGATTTCTCCAGCGCTTGACGGTCTTGTAGACATGGTGAACCTTTTTCACCATTGCAGGCTTCCAGAGTAGGCCATCGACACCAACGAATACACATCAGAACGGTTGAAACATGGGTGCATTTGTCACGGGAAAAGGTACTGGCAATAGAGGACTTCGAATGGCCATTCCCAGTGGACTGTTGGCACTGCTCACTGTGAACCTTTTCACAGCACCAAAAAAGCGAGCGCACCACAAAGCACTTCCAGCCCCCAAATAGGCCATTGACACCAAACAAACAAAACAAATCTGTGCAAAGATAAGTTTTTGGTAGAACATGGTTGCAACAAAGGACCTCCAATGGCCATCCCCTATGGACCGTTGGCACTGTTGTGGAACGCACTGAACTCTAGGTCTTTAGTTTCCTTCTCTTCAGCCTTCTTCTTGCCGCCCTTTGCCTTCGCCTTTGTCTTCTTTTTCTTGTTCAGCCCAGACAGCAAGCCTTTCGCAGCTTCCTAGCAGGGCAGAGGTTTGAACAACGAAAGAAACCTGGTCAGTGACGTTGCTACGGGACAAAACCATTCAGGCATTTAGTAGCTTTTGGAAATGCAGTGATCACACTCGTGCCCTTGCTCTTCTCGAACCGCTTCATTTTCTCCGTTGCCATGTCAATCGCTGCCTCAAACTTCTTCTCCTTCGTTTTGGAACCAGAAGCAAGCTGCTGAATCGCACCATACAACTTCTCCATCTGCGAGCTGTGCTTGAAAAGCTGGGCAACAAGCTGCTCGCCGTATTGCACATGCTGGAGGGAGACTGCGAGTTTCCTCGCGTCAGTACCTTCTTTCAAGACATCTTCCATGAGCGCAACGGCTTTCCTCACTTGAATGTCAAGTTGAGGATAACTTTTGATTTGGTGTATTTTTGGAGTTGTTCAGGTGGTGTAAAAACAAAGAGGACATATTACATACAAGTGTGGCGCCACAGAAAGTAAAAGCGCCGCAAAAAGTCCGAGTGTCTCCTTCGCAGTGGCTGGTTGCACTTCCTCAGCCTTTTCTTTCTTGGGCTTGGTTGCCGTTGTCTTCACGACCGAGCCTGTCAGCGCTTCGCACATGTTTTAGATCCCATTCTCGTTGCCCATGTCCAAAGCAGGCATACACCCGGCTTGCAGCACACCATCATTGCCAGTAAGGGAATCAAGGAGTTCGCTGTCTGGACCCTTTGTCTCCCCCCGCAATGACATCTTCTCAGACGTGATATCACGACGCACAAACTTTTTCCCTGTAGCTGGGTAGTACCAAATTTCCTTCAGGGGGCATGATTTGGTTTCGAACCGACATGATCCCAAACTGAACATATATAGTATTTTGTAATATAGAACAACCAACCTCTGTTTCACACCCCAGTCCTCCTCATCACCCGGCCAGTCTTCATCCCACGACCAAAGACCCTTTTCGAGTAGCTTCTTAATGTAGCCCGAAACTTTGTCTGTGGTGACATACTTGGGTGCCAAATCCCTGGCTTTCACTCCAACACGCCCAGACTTAGCTTCAAGATCCTTTTGAACCGACCTCTCAACAATGAGCGATAACCTGAGGAAGGAAGGGTCGGTGGGGTGGAATGAAAAGGGGAGCTAACTAAACAATTGCGCGTTCTACAAATAAGGTCCCCACTCGTCCATGTTCTGGCCAGTTTCCATCCGCGTCCGAAAAAGATCTAACTTTTTCTTATCGGCGTACGGCGCAAGCGACACAGGGAACTTCTTGCGATCGTTGCACTGACGTGTGAACGTTGCCCATTCGCGTGGGTGAGAAACACCTTGGATAGCCAACAGTTTTTTAGGGCTGAGACACAAACACTGCAAGCATGATAGCACGGTTTGCAATTTACAGAACAGGTGCTGTTGGCAGTGGAGAAGCCTGCGCCTGCAGCCGCCGCCGCCAGCTCCTGTCCCACCTCTTCCTTGCTTCGCTTGCCCTTCTCCTTGGGTTTCTCTGCCTTCTCTTTCTCCTTCTGCTTCTCTTTCTCCTTCCTTGCCTTCTCTTTCATCTTCACCTCTCTCTGCTTCATCTTCTCCTTCTCATCCTCCTTCTCCTTCTCATCCTCCTTCTCCTTCTCTTTCTCCTTCTCCTTTATTCCCTTCTTGGGCGCCTCATCTTCCTCCTCATCATCTTCATCTTCTTCCTCATTGGAGCCGTCGCTCTCCGCATCCTCATGTTCCTCATCCTGTGAGCTTTGTTCGCTGTCATCTTCTTCATCCTCATCGCCTGCCTCTTCACCCAAGCGAAGAGTTACCTCAGACTCATTGTCGCTGGGATCATCTTCGCCACTGCTTCCATCATCTTCAAGCAAAGCATCGATGTTGTCTCCTGGACTCTCGTCTCTTTTGCGCTTCTTGCTTTCATTCTTCTTGATCTCCCTTTGCTTTGGCTCTTCCTTTGCACTTTTTGCCCTCTTGTCAGCGTTTTCCTTGGTCTTGGAACTCTCCTCAGTTTTCTTGGTCTTGCGATCCTTCTCTTCTTCCTTCCCAAACTTGGAAACCTTTTCTGGCTGCTTGCCAGTCACCCTCGTCCTCATGTCACTTGTTGATGCCGCTGTGGAAGATCCACTGCGCACACTGTCAGTGTCCTTGAGATGGGTCTTACGCAGAGCCGACCTCCGCCGCTCAACCTGCTCGGCCCTTGTCTTGGCCATGGTCACGTGTTTCCCTCGAGTCAGAGTGAACTCCAAAAACTGCAGCGGCAAGTTTCACATTCATTCTTTCATATTTTCCATACAATTCACACCGTTTACCATTCACAACTTTTTCAGAAACGTGATCAACGCTCGCCTCTAATGTGTATACGGGCTTCTCGGTCATGGAGCGGTAGGTTTTTAGTCAGTTGGAGGGAGAACTACCATTCACCACATTTTACGACAATTCACAACTTTCTTACGACAATTCACCACTGCCAAATGGATAATTTCCAGAAAAAATAAAAAACTGCGGCAGTGGTCAGACACGCCTCCATGGCCCTTGATGTTCTTCAGCACCAATCGCGGCATTTTCCTGGCAATCATGAGCGCTTAGCTCCACTTTTTGTATGCTCTGGGTTGTATGGGATGGGAAGGAGCGCTACGCGCTGACCACTTTTGCACCACATGCTGCCCATTACGCGGCCAAATAGCCATGTTTAAGAACATGACATTGAAGCTCAGAACTTTGCTAAAAGCCGCTGCCAGATAGGCATGTTTAAGAACACGACACCGAATTTCAGAACTTTGCTAAAGGCCGTGTTTTTCACACGGTGCAACCTGCAGTCCAAACACTTCACAAACATACCTGGACACACGTGATTCTTTGACATGGAAAACAAGAACTGGCCACATGTGATTGAACTAACAGGTTAGCTCAGGTAGTCAAAAACTGGCTGGAGGTTGGCCATGTCAATCCACACGGAAAGAGAGCCAGTCCGCTTCTTTGCCACTGACTGAGGCGATTGCTTCACAAAGGCCTTGGACGTCTTCTTGATGTCCTTCATGCGCCTCGTTCTGAGTCGCGCTAGGGCACGCCCAAACCTGACTGGGCGGTGCGCTGGGTTTGGTGTGGAAAGGGTATGCGAAACAATTTAGTAACAACCCCTACAAGGTGGTAAACATATGCTGAACAAGGCAAAGAGCTGCAATGGATACGCTTGCGAAGACTTCAAGTTGGAAGAGCCCTTAATTCTGGACTTTCCCTTCCCATCCACATACTTTTCAACCAACTCGTGTTTCTCGCGGACGGGCGTTCGGAGTGGCTTGAACTTGTCCAACTCGTCCAGGATCTCACCATGTCCTGATGCTTTTGGCAGGGGCGCCCCCTACTGTCTTCATGTTGGCGGTTTTCTTTTAAAGACTATACCACCAGAACACCCTGTTTGGATATATTGATCCATATTGATACCACCAAAACACAGTGAAATACAAACTTCTTTGGACCTGAGCTCCCACTGAAGTTGTCTCGTGTTTGCACTGTCTCCTAATATGAACTTGTCGGTTTTGGTGGAAAGTTCAGTCCTGAATACAGCCATGTAGGTTTCTGGGAATGTCCTCCATAGTCTCCCATCCTGATGTGCTTCCTCGAAAACTTGATGAGGCCCAGCACATGTTGGATCAAGGGGTGGTACTGGAATAACGACCCCTTAGGGTGCTCGAGGATCCAGAAAAGTCCACGGGCTGCCAACAGCAGCAGTATTGCACATCTAGCTGCCATCACCGAACCAATGTGGCATGATCCCTTCCCTGACCCCAGCGGTCTGGCCCTGCTTCGAAGGGTAGATCCTCTGCTCCTTAACGGTCGACGCAGGCGCATATATGATATGATCATAGAATCATATAATATCATATATATGTATACATTTGTTGTGGGCTGTCGATACCCAATTGACACCAAACTTATCATAGATACGAAAAATGTTGTCAATGCACAGCAAAAGAACATAAACACCCAAGTCGAGCAGACCGGTGCAAGAGTAAGCCCACCAGCTCTCTTTGTGTTCAGAACAGCGTAAATGGCCAGAGCGAATCCCTGGGGCGTCATGATATCCATGAACTCGCTGTTGTACACGATGTCATAAGCAAAGACCGATCGCCCTTCCTCCAAAACAAGTCTACAGCAGGTTGAGCCAGGCCCCAAATATCACCCCAGAATGTTGGGAAACATACATTCAATCCATACACAATTGCCTGCATGTTCTGGGGTCAGGCTTTGGGCGGGGAAAACGAGGCCATTATAGGGCTCAACCCTGCTAGGTTTTTGGCATTGTTTGGTACCTTTTTTGAAAACAGTTCCCTCCATCCCAAGCCTGCATTTCGCCCCGGGTGACCGATGCGCAACCTGAGAACAGCTCGGTGTGATCCTTCGGCTCTGCCCAATTGAGGTTGGGCATGCCATAGATCAGCGATGCAAGCATGGCTACAACCTTGGAAGGTTATGGGCTGGCGGACGTGAGTCATTTTGAGGGTATCCATACACCAACTTTTGATTGGACTTATAGGGTCACCTCAAAGCCTCTTTGGAAGCTGTTGGGCCACCTGCAATACTCTGCCTCCCATGCAGGGAGACCAATGGGGGGGTACCGATGGGATTGGGAGGAGCCAGAGGGTTTTCAAGCCTTAGCTGCGCCACTTCTGGAAGACATCCACAAACGCTTTTTGAAAAGGGTGTAACACTTTTCGACAAGAATCCATAGGAGCTCCAACCCTTCGCAAACCTTGTAACGTCAAGGCCCGCTCCCGGTTCCTGGTCGATTGCGCTGGTTCTGCCTTGAAGCACTCCGGGACTTTCTTAGCATCATTGAACCTGAACCCTGAGCTCTTTGGCTTCCCCATGGTCAAAGGAGTACGAGCTCACCAGCCAAAATCGCTTTTGAGCCATGCAAGCAGTGAATTGTGGAAATCTCCCTGCAACCCCTGCACTTGGCATCTTTAGGATTCATATTGAAAAGACATCTTTCATTGTCTAACATGTGGGACTGACTTGCAGGATAGAGAGCGGTCACTGCTTGCAAACTTTGCCAGCTGGACCTTGAGAACTTTGCCAGCTGGACTCGACCTTGAGGTAGATGTGGTTGAAGCCTCAAAGCCTGCGAAGATTGGAAGGAGCCCGGGTTGGATTGGTTTGTTGGGGCGCCTTCTCCACGTCTCCATGCTGCAAGCCATCGCAACACAGGTGGAAAAACAAAAGCACACTGCAAAAGATTGAAGATTCTGAGAACATGCAGCTTTTCTTTGCTACCCAGATTCGTTGTTTGGAGGTCTTGTGGATGGAATGTCGTTTAGCCTGTGCGTTTAAAAACCATGAAGCTGACAAGTGAAGACAGGGAAAGGTTGAAAGGTCATTGGGCCCTTCACTCATAATATGGCGTGTCTCTGAAAGGATGGCCTCAGTGTTTTTGATTAGAAACTCCACTTATAGTTTGATCGGTTTGGGCCACCTCAATGAACTGGCTCACCAGGCTGAGTTCAGAGCGCACACAGCGTGCATCACACACGAAAGAAGTCTAGGGAGTCCCACTGAGAGAAAAGATAAAAAGAGTGCGCTATCAAAGCAAAAGCAGTCAGTGGATTGATGAATGGCAGCCATCAAAAACGTGTGAAGCGAGAAGTGGATTACAATCAAAATGTGATGTGAGAAATGGACTGATTCTTTTCCTTTCCCTTTGGCACCTCAAAGAATTGACGTCCCCATCTGAACCACAACCACCTCCACGCTGAACGTCAAACCTTTGATTCCAACTTACAACATCAAAACTCTAAACAACATTTGAGAAAAGCAGAGGCGGTCGTGTTGGCAGATCCCCAGCAATCCAATGGATTGGCGCATTCATCGGCCTAAGGGGTGTAGCCACTCCGCTGGACAGCTTGATTCAATCCACGCGGCCTTGGCCCCTCCACACTTCAACCAGGACAGTTGCCCTGTTGGGCCGGGTCCAGTATCGCTGACCCGCTTCACAAAAAAGGCTTTATGCCTCAAAAAAACTTCTATTCTAGCTGAGCTGTTGGGGGACTTCAAAGTGTATGAATGCTTCCCCACGTTTTCTCTGGTCAAATCTGGATATGCTTCCCTGGGCACATCCAGCGCAGCCAAATCATAACCACCATACATTGTAGGTGTGGGTGACTCGCCCTTTGGGCTCTTCCCCTTCCTGAGACCTACCCTCGGACGCATCACCTTGAAGGTCGATTTGCCAGGGCCCTTGCCCTTCTTCTTCTTGCGGCGTTTGTCTGCCCGCATGAAAGGCGCTTGCAGCAAAGTCGAACTTAGAACCCAATGACTTCTTGATAAGCAACGCTTGCAAAGCACTCAAGAAGCTTCACACAAACAGACACTTGATCCATGTCATTTGATGTCATTTAGCATGAACCGACATCGATTCAAACTCAAAAACAAATTCACTGCCCACCCGGAAAGACCTGCCTGGCGCTCCAAAGGTTTCTCTGGCGTCGTCAACTCTGGAGAATCCATGAACAGCGGTCTTTTGCGTACAGGTGTCTTCATCACAGTTCTGTCGTTAGTGGGAACCTCCCTCTCAGGTCTCTCAGGTGTGACATGTGGGCAAACAGCCGTGAGAGACGACGCTGTCACAGAGGGGTCTGACGCAAGCTTGCGTGCATCACAGTCCTTTCCTGCGTAAGCACGCTCAAGGCCAAAGCGGCCACACGGAGGCATGTCCTGGGCCTTGTCGCTGACCGAGAACAGCTCCTCAGGATATTCAGGTTGACCCAGATTTTTAAACTGCCGTGAAATGCAAGCTTACGAGTGAAAAATAGAGACAAGTCTCTGAATCAGACTCTTCTTCCGATTCCCCATGTTGCGCCGCACCATCGGAACTCTCGCCAGCCTCTGAGAACAGTTCAGCCCAGTGAGCGGCAACATCTGGTGTTGGAGGCAAAGACACATTCAAACATTTGCTGCATTCTTTGAGCCCGGAAGGTATGCACACATAGGTGATGCCATTTCTGATTTCTGTCCACCGCTCCTGCCCATGCCACCGAGGGTCCGCATCAGGTTGAGAAGGAGCCATGAGCTCATCAATCCGTTGAGAAAACTCCTCATTCTCCTCGCACGGCTTGATGGCATCATGAACTGGAGCTTGTGAGGCCTCCATGGCATCGTCGACTGAAGCTTGAGAGGCCTCCACGACATCGTCAACTGAAGCTTGAGAGGCCTCCACGACATCATCAACTGAAGCTTGAGCGGCCTCCACGACATCATCGACGGAAGCTTGAGAGGCCTCCACGACATCACCAACTCCAGCTTGAGACGCTTCCGAGGCGTGTGGTCCCCTTCCAAACTTTGGAACCACAAACCTTTGCCAGTAGGCCTTGCGCTTCTCCAACGGCGGATCCTCAGGTCAGGCGCAGCTGACGATGATGGTGACCCCACCATCGCAATGTCCGAAGCTGCCTCAGCCTCTGATCCCTCAGAGTCTGAGCCATCACCCACAATCAGGTCAGGAGCATCAGCAGCATCAGCGATTGGAGCTGGCTCCTCTTCGTTCTCTGAACTCGAATGGAACTCGTCCCCATCCTCCAGAACTGGAGCTTTTTGCCTTGGGCTCCTCTTCAAGTACTCCTTCAACTCGAGCACCGCTGGGTCATGCGAATTCACGCCTGAGATGGCAGGCTGATTGAAAGAAACCTGGAAAACGGAAGGCGTTCTTTGACTGCTATAGCTTAATTCTTAGATGTTGGCTTCTGCAAGCTGAACAACGTGCATTAGAGGGACTATTCCGATATAGGTGGCGAAGGGCGCCCAAGCTTCTTGAGGCGCTTCCCCTCTCGAAGGGCCGCCGAGCCCTTACTTTCCCCGTCCTTGGGGATGAGCAACAAATCATTCAGCAGCCGGTCCAGTTTCACCATCGCGTCACCCATGAGGAAGGTACTGCGCACCTCCAGCTGGCTCGCAAATTCCACGAACAGAAGAATATACTCAGCTTGACAGAACAAACAGAAAGTAATCTGCTTATAACAGTTTGAGCCTGAGCATTCCACAACATTGAATTGACTGTGCCATGGGCCACGCCTTGGTTGGGTACAACCTGCATAGTGGCTTCAGCCATACAAAGTTTTCCCGCATCTCCTGCAACATGTGAGGACGAGACCCTCGAATGAAAACACTGGAGCAACGACAAACTCAAGGTTGCATTGACATCATCGGAAAACTCTTGCAATTCAATTGAGTTCATCGGGATTTTGAAGGGAATGAACAACACCACCAAATGTGCCTTGCAAGTCGGCCTGCCGTATTCTTCGGTCAACTTCACCAGTGCAGCTCCAGGAGCCAGGCGCTTGTTGCGAACGAGGTCCAAAGCGATATCCGGAAGCTCGTTCATCCAACCATCTGCCAAATCAGCCTGGGCATGGCTGTTCCCGCCACGCTTTCTTCAATTTACAGCAAAAATCCAAAATGCAAGCCCATTGAACAAATTAAAATCGTCTGCTTGTAGATGAAGCTTCGGCATCTTTCTCAGTCCAAGAAATGCGCCCTGGACCTAGGACATGGGGAAGGGATGGGGTGGCGCGTTGGAAACAAAATTGGTTGAGGTGTGAACTGTCCACACTACAATTTCCAAGCATTTGCTTGCAGCTTGGGCACGCAAAGACTTCCATGGACCAACGTGCACCAACTCCATGGTCAGACACAGCGCGCGCGGTGCACAAACTCACACAGCCAGAACGCTCTGGACAGTACAACCCGGACGTGCGACATAGGTCACAGACCCTCTGCCCGCGAAGGAGCTCAACGAAGAAGCGCCAGCGAGCGCTGGAAAACATCGGTGGCAGCTGGCGTTCGTGGGTCGCGTCTTCGACTCTGTGGGCGTGTCTAATGCACCCAAAAATTCATTTAAATGTTCGCACAACCCCTCCACTTCTCAGAAGATTAGACGCGCCCATGGTTGCAGCAAAAACCGCTGGACTCTCTCTCTCTCTCTATCTTTTTCTCTCCCTGTGTGTGTGTTATGGTTTTTCTGTGGGCGCTAGGTGTGCCCAAACATGCGTTGGCAGAACTGGTTGGAAAACTGATCACAGCCACTTGGGGATCTTTCTGCCAACACATCACGGACCCAAGAACCCAATCCTGTGTCATTGGGTGTTCCTTCAGATGTACAGGACCTTCATTGGCGCCCGCACCTCTTACAGCTTGAAACAACTTGTAGAAAAAACAGAAACACACACGCATCCATATAAATATGATATATTTTTATATACATACTCTAAAGCCGCATGGACGCCGCAAAGCCTAAAGTGTTTTGAGACTTTGCTTTAAATCAAGAGCTCTTGGAACCCAAGAGTTTCAAAGGAGCAGTGGCACCTCTATTGCAGAGCAGCTTCAGCTGCACTACACACCATGCGCATGATAACTCAGGCAGAATCAGCGCGCGATCAGTTGCAGGACCATGCACGCATG